CGCAACCGCCGCTCCGGTTGGACTCCTTGGCGGTTGGGACGGCAATTGCCAGCCTCTTGTCTTCTCCACGGCCGCCGCTGATTTGGATGTAGTAGCTCTCCTTCACTTGGTGCGCCCGCTCCTGACGCTTTTGCGTCGTCTTGGTCACAGCGAGGCACCCCGCAGTTTGCCTTGGGTGGCAGCACGCGCCATCAACCATCCGAGCAAGGCGCTTCGAGTTGCGGTGGCTTCGCTCACGTTGTCCATGCCTTGTGGCGCTCACAGTGTCACCTCAAGCACGCTGATCCGGACGATGGCCGGGCGCCTCTCAATACCCACACTGAACTTGGAGAAAACCAATCTTCCATCCCCGATCCGAAAATGAGCTCGAAACAAAGTCCTGATTGACGCAGTTGCTGGTTTCGGCGGCGGGTGCCACCACAGTCTTCACGCATCCTCGTAGCCCACAACTCCTTCATACTCGAGCAAACTAATGTTCATGTGCCGTAGAGGTAGAGTTTGAGCTCCTTGCGCAAAGGGTTTTCTGCTAAAACGTTGTGTCAATGTGGCGGGCATCCGTGTCGTCACAGGACGCTTCTGGAGCATCTCCCTCCTCCTCCTCCTCCTCCTCCTCCTCATCTTACATTCTTCTCCTCCTCCTCTCACACTAAGTTCGTTCAACATTTCCTGGCTTGTCTGTGGCCCATCTGGGGTTGGGGGCACGGCCCCCTTGCCGGAAGCAGGCCTTGATGAAGGGGGAAGTCTCAGCATATGACTATCGCGTTTGCCGCGCGTGTCTAGCGCGCATTTCTGTCTGTTATCTTGCGCACGTGAGTTGTTGGTAGAGAGTTGCCGCTTCGAGTTTGGTCTGCGGCAGCAGCTCAGTTTTGTTGTCGGCGTGCGGCTGCATGGAAGGGTAGAACGTCGGCAAAACTCATAATGAGTTGTAGAACCAAGATTTGTTCAGATACAATTGTCCATCACTACTACTCAAGGCCGGTTTGTTGCATTCCGGAGTTGGCTGAGACTTGTTTAGGGCAGCAAGTGCATATTTGTGTGTACTTTTAGTCAACCGAGAGTTCCTGGAAAACTGTTCAATTTTCAACCCGCTCGAATGAATTGCTTAAGGTGTTCTGAAGGGTGACAGAATAGCAGGAGAATGCGACAAAACCTTAGTTGACCAGTTGATTATTTATGTAACACTTGCGTTACGCACCGCGCACCATGTCTGCAGTGTTACGTTCATGTTGTTTAATGGACTGTGTGGCACATGTACATCTTTAGACACACATACTTATTTGTATAAATATATATATATATACATATATGTGTATGATATATTGTAACTACCTCCGCCTGGCCGACCATTGACAGCTCAGCTCCAAAACAGAAGAAGAGGCAAAAACGAATGACCTCTCAAAGGTTCAACTAACTTCAGAGCAACTTCGAAGCACGTGAGCCTGGATTTCGTTGCCACAAAACCCAGCGTCAGCAAGCCCAAAGAATAGCGCCAAAAACAGGCTGGGGCCCGAAGCCCGACCGCTTCAGGCTGGGCTGTTAGGAAAGCCACAGACCCAAAGTATCGCACATGTCACTGAAACAGGCAGCGCAGACCATGTGCAACACGCCCAAAGTGTTGAACGCACCGAGACTGCCACAACATCCAGCATGATGGGTTGATTGGTTGGCTTGGGGCTTCCGAGGCACTAGTTGGACCGACGGATACCCTGGAGGAGGGCTCCCCTACCAAACTAGACTACAGAAAAAGGGCACCCTTATTCCTTTTTGCTGGAGGACCTAGTTGCGAAACGCTTTATAGTGAGATGGATGGTGGTAAACAAGCGATTGGAGGTTGCAAAGACAGAGCGATGGAGAATGATGGAGAAGCAAGCCAGCGGGCGACTAGACAAGGGTCCGGGACAGAAGACGTAGACAATAAGGGTGGGCAGGTAGAGAAACTCAACAACGCACAGGCGAGAGATGCGCAGACAGAAATGAGATAGCAAGCAGGTAGGTAGACAGATAGAAATATAGATGTAGAGATGGATAGATGGGTAGTTGATCGATGGACAGACAGAAAGACAGCCGGAGAGAGGGAGGGAGAGGGCAGAGAAAGAGACAGAGCGAGAGAGAGAGAGAGAGAGAGAGAGAGAGAGAGAGAGAGAGAGAGAGAGAGAGAGAGAGAGAGAGAGAGAGAGAGAGAGAGAGAGAGAGAGAGAGAGAGAGAGAGAGAGAGAGAGGGAGAGAGAGAGAGAGAGAGGGAGAGAGGAGAGGGAGGAGAGGGAGGGAGGGAGGGAGGGAGGGAGGGAGGGAGGGAGGGAGGGAGGAGGGAGGGAGGGAGGAGGGAGGGAGGGGGAGGGAGGGAGGGAGGGAGGGAGGGGAGGGAGGGAGGGAGGGAGGGAGGGAGGGAGGGAGGGAGGGAGGGAGGGAGGGAGGGGAGGGAGGGAGGAGGGAGGGAGGGAGGGGGAGGGAGGGAGGGAGGGGGAGGGGAGGGAGAGGGGGAGGGAGGGAGGGAGGGAGGGAGGGAGAGAGGGAGGGAGCGAGGGAGCGAGGGGGGGAGGGGGAGAGATAGGCGGACACATAGGCAGATGGATGGGCAGGTACCTATCTGTAGAACCACGACAGCTAGACAAGGAGGAAGAAAAGGGGCAAGACACGCAGATGGTTGCATAGTTAGACTGATTGCTTGCGCAAGCTGCGTCCATTGAAGGAAAAGTGGACAAGCAAACTGATCAAGAGATAGACACGACAGTAGGTAGAAGGTAGACAGATTGGTAGGTTGATTGATTGACATGCTTTGAGCTAGGTAGGTGTTGGAGATGCTGGGGCGGCAGCTGTTGAAACCCTCTACTTCAACGATGCTAACCTCACGGCGCTTGGCAAGCCGGGCCAAGGCGCAACGGCGTTTAGTCCAACTGAACGGATCGGCAGCTCCGGCCTGAATTCCATCAAGGATCGTCAAGCTCAATGCCAACCTGCCGAGGAACTTTGGATGTTGTTTTTTGTAGCACCCTCGGACATGGCAGTGTAGGGAGAGTGCAGACTTTGGCAGAGGATCCGTGGTTTCTAGGGGGTCGCAAGATCACTCAACTGGAGCTCTTCATTACCATGGTGGTGCTGTATGCTCTGGTCACCATCTGGTCGCCAAGCCTTCGCGGGGTGTGTGGCACAAAGCTAATTGTAAACGCTTCGCGTTGCCCGCCTGGGCCAGTCCGCTTTTGGCTGGCCTTGAGGTAGAGGCTGTGCTTTAGTTTGCCTTGAAGTGTTGTTATTAAAGTGAGCGAGTCAGCGCCGAAATCCGTGCGCTAGTTTCCAAGGTAGAGGGTGGGCGCATGTCCGCGCGATTTGACTTGGCTTCCAGGGCCAAAACGCGAGCCGCAGAGAGCTAGAGAATGGTGGTCCAAGCTTTGAATTTGATTGTTTTGTTGGGGAGATTTGCCGGGGGATTGGGGCTTGACAGGTTTCTAGAAGGGAAGTTCCCCCCGTCGCACAGCCAAAATCCCTGCTTCAGCTGCCTCGAGTCCGCCTGGAGCGAGCCTGGAAGCAGCCGGCCCCTTCGACTTTGACAAGGATCTTGATAACCCCGCAAATCCCTCCAAGAACCTGTCCACTTCCCTGTTAAACCGATCAAATCTTTGTTACCATAGAAACTGGTCAAATCCCTTTCTAGAAGCCGATAGAAACCGGCGATTCATCCCGCTAGATCCCGGTCAATTTCCTCCTCTCAAAGCTGGCCCAACTCCGGTCCAATCCCCCCAGAAACTGGCCAAATTCCCCTTAAAACTGGTCAAATTCCCCTTCAGAAACCAACCCCCTTAAAACCGTAGAAGCCGGTCGTCGGACGGACCAAATCAGAGTGGATGCCGTCAGCCACGAGGGACGGCAGGGTCGATGGCGCCCGCCGAATGGTTTTTCACTGCGGAGGCGTTTTTTCCTTTTGAAACTTGGCAGCTCAGCAGCTCCCATTTCCGGCGCTGATCCTAGTTGCCCAGCTCACGCGAACGCATTGGGAAGAAGTACGTTGGGTTGCTGCGCATGGGCTGCAGTGAGTCTGACACTAGCCTGCAGGGCGCAGGAACAGCCCCACCAGCCTGCAGAGCGTTGCCTCTGAAGCTCCCAATTTCGGTTGAACTGGTTTGATCGAAGCTTGTATGAGGAAAAGGCAAAAGGAGCTGCGCCTCTGGTGGATGCCACCAAGATGAAACGCTGACATGCTTTGAGCTAGGCAGTCTTTGGGTGAGCGTGCATGAAGTCAAATTGGGGCGGAAGCGTTCAACCGAAATTGGCACAGGCTTTTGTCCCACCCACCCACCCACCCACCCACCCACCCTGTATCCAGGACCGACGTTCGGGTATACTTGAAGGCTCCGCGGGAGCCAGAGCTTGGTGTCAGGCTTGGGTTTTGCTGCACGCTGCAGCGAGCCTGACACTCAGCCTGCTGGGCGCAGGAACGTGCAGGTTCCCAATGTGTTTTAATGGTTGAAAAGTGTTGATGGAGGCGCGCATGAGGAAAAGGAAAAAGATACTGCGCTTTTGGTTGATGACACCAAGATGAAATGTAATTAGATTGGTAAGAATGATAGGTAGACAGAAAAGACAAAGGCTGGTAAGACATAATATAAGTAGACGGGCAGACAGATAGATGGGCCGGTAGGGAGACAGACAGACAGAAATAGACAAGCGAATAGGTGAGGTTCAAACTGGCTTGCGAGACAGAAGTGTGCGTAAGATGGACAGATAAATATAATTATAGGGGTGTAGTCAAACCACAGGTAGACTGACTGGCAGACTAGGTCGATTGTGCTTGATGAATCTCTGTCCATCTACCTGCAGATGCTGGCTTTCATCCACTGCGCAGTCTCGAAGTCATAGGAGGCACCAATCCCATGCGCACCGCGAACAGCAAACACATGGGTCGGCAGTTGTAAGGTTGAGCACCCCAAAAAGGTAGTTTTCATGTTGCTTCCCTTTCAACCAACCAAAAGCGAAAAGACACACTCACATTGCGTCGCCCTGTGCCAATGTTTACGCCTTTTCCTGTGTGCCTACTCTGTCTCCTGGCGCGAGCGCGAGCCTTCGCGCTGAGCGACTGGGATTTCCAAGGTGGCACAAGCGGAGATGATCGTGGCCAGAGCGTAAGCAGTGACTCTTCCAATCATGCACTTGTTGCCGGCTGGACTTCTGGGAACCTTTCGTGCACCAACGCCGGAGGAAAAGACATTTTCCTCATGAAACTCGACAGAACAGACAACTCCATTGCGGTCTTGCAAGTTGGCACATCAGAAGATGACGCTGCCCAAGCAATTGCCGTAGATAGCTTGGACAACCTTATCATTGCTGGCTACACCCTGGGTCCTTTGGATGGCGTCACCACAACTGGAGGAGTTGAGGATGGTTTCCTGATGAAGTTTGACAATGACGGAGCTTGGCAATGGACTGTTCAGGTGGGGTCAGAAACTTCAGCCGATAACATCCGGAGTATTGCTGTGGCTGCCAATGATGATATTGTTGCAGTCGGATCAAGCGCCGGAACAATTGATGGTGTTTCTTCATCAGGTGTCAGTGATTTTCTCATCATCCGTTACGACAACGACGGGATGTGGCAGTGGACTAGGATGAGAGGCAGCGCAGCGGGGGATGATGCTACTAGTGTTGTCATTGATAATGGAGGCAACATCATTTTGGCTGGGGGGACCCGCGGTGACATGGATGGGCACACCAACGCAGGGCTAGATGACCTTGCGGTCGTCAAGTATGACAGCGCCGGAAATTGGTTGTGGACACATCAGAGTGGTTCCCCTGCAGCTGACTGGTTCAGGGCTGTGGTCACGGATTCGAGCGACAACATCTATGCTGTGGGTCTGACTCAGGGCTCATGGCCAGGGTTTGCCCATGCAGCTGGGCCAGCGTTTTACAGGGTCAGGGGCCCCTTTTAGATAATGCTAGCGTCTCAAAACCTTGCTGCGCACTTCTATCATTCTTCAAAAGAGGGTGCATCTTTGCCCTTGACTAAGACGATGTAAACTATTTAAACCTTTGAGTTTTTCCCCGGATAGCAGAAAGCTATAAAGTTATAACTTCTAATTCAGAGTGGGAAGTGATATGCGAGATACATGGCTGGGTGCTGGTGCGGATGCTGTTAGGGTGTGCTGTTTGGGGTGCTGTTTGTGGCGCTGGCGACGGCGCGGGCGCATTCTTGCAAGATTGACGGCAGGGCGCTAGTGCAGTGTGGGCGCTGGTGCTGTTTTGGAGTGTTGTTTGAGGTGCTGGTGCTGCTGCGGGCGATGTTGCGAGATAGACAAGGGGGCATGCAGGTCACAGCGCGTGCGCAGTTTTGCAAGCTTAAGCGCATTTTTGCGAGATTGATGGCAGGGCGCAAAGAGGGGGTGCTGTTTCGGGGTTTCTGTTCGGGGTGACGGCGCCCGCGCATTTTGCGAGATTTAAGTCAGGGTGCTATTTTTTGCGAGATTACCGCCCGTGTGCTCTGGGGGGTGCTGTTTGCCACGCTCTTCGGGCTGTTGTTGCTAAGCGGTGCTGGTGTGCAATCATCTGCCCGTTTTTCGCTATTTGTGGCCTATGCTGGTGTAATTTCATACTTAAGGCAGGTGGCTTCTCCGACATTGCGTTGGTGAAGCTGAACAGCGCGGGGACCTGGCAATGGACACAGCAAAGAGGATCATCCCTCTCAGATGAACCCTATGCCATGGCAGTGGATACCCAGTTGCCCAGTCACACCCGTTTTGCCATTGCTGTTCTTTTTTGGAGGCTTCGTTTGAAAGTAGCCCGCCAAGAAAAGGCGCCGGCCTCTGAGGATCGTAGCAACAGCAAGATCTTCGTCACCGGTGTCACAGACGGAGACCTGGACGGGCACACCGACACGGACCCAGATATTTTTCTCATGCAGTTTGACCTGGACGGAAATTGGGAATCTACCACATTTCATGGTTCTTCTGCAAGAGACGTAGCCTTGGGATTGCACCTGGACAGGTCGAAGCTCCACGCACACTAGATGTTTTGCATGTTGTCGCTTCCCAATTATTTCCCATTGATTCGCCGCTTTGCATCGAACAACCAATCCAGACCAGGAATAACTTCATCAACCGGTTATACTTTGGGCTCGTTCCCTGGATACACCAATGCTGGCGGCAGTGATTTGCTAGCGAGCAAGCTACTTCATACAGCCACCACCACTACCGCCACTGCCACCCCCGCCACCGCCACCGCTACGGCGACGACCAGCACAACTTTGCCAGCAAGCGCAACAAGCGCAAGGACTACAACCGCTATTACTTCAATATCCACCTCAACACGTACCACCTCCAGCAGCACGACAACCACGAGCACCAAAACCACCACCTCCAGCAGCGCAACGGCCACTACATCCTTGACAGGGACTGCGACTGGGACTACTGCAACAACGAGCACCATAAGCATCACCTCCAGCAGCGCAACGGCAACTACATTCTTGACAAGCACCACGACTGAAACTGTTTCATCAACGAGTACGATGAGCATCACCTCCAGCAGTGCAACGGCAACTACCTCCTTGACAGGCACTTCGACTGGGACTACTGCAACAACGAGCACCATAAGCATCACCTCCAGCAGCGCAACGGCCACTACATCCTTGACAGGGACTGCGACTGAAACTATTTCAACAACAAGCACCACAAGCATCACCTCCAGCAGCGTAACGGCAACTACATCCTTGACAGGTACTACGACTGGGACTACTGCAACAACGAGCACCATAAGCATCACCTCCAGCAGCGCAACGACCATCACATCCTTGACAGGGACTGCGACTGAAACTATTTCAACAACAAGCACCACAAGCATCACCTCCAGCAGCGTAACGGCAACTACATCCTTGACAGGTACTACGACTGGGACTACTGCAACAACGAGCACCATAAGCATCACCTCCAGCAGCGCAACGGCCACTACATCCTTGACAGGGACTACGACTGAGACTATTTCAACAACAAGCACCATAAGCATCACCTCCAGCAGCGTAACGGCAACTACATCCTTGACAGGGACTTCGACTGGGACTACTGCAACAACAAGCACCATAAGCATCACCTCTAGCAGCGCCACAGCAACTGCATCCTCAAGTACGACTGAGACTATTTCAACAACCACCAGCAGAACAACCACCTTTAGCAGCATAACAACTACATCCTTGACAGGGACTACGACTGGAACTGTTTCAACAACGAGCACCAGAGCCACCACCTCTAGCAGCGTAACGGCAACTACATCCTCGACTACGACTGGAACTGTTTCAACAACGAGCACCAGAGCCACCACCTCTAGCAGCGTAACGGCAACTACATCCTCGACTACGACTGGAACTGTTTCAACAACGAGGACCAGAAGCACCACCTCTGGCAGCGAGACTGTTTCAGCGACGAGCACCTCCAGCAGCGCAACGGAAATGTCTGTCCGGAGTGCAACAGCATCTACATCTTTGTCAGGGACTGTTACGGGCACCGCTGTGTCAACAAGCTCGAGCACCACTAGCATCACAGTATCAAGGACGCGGACTGCGACGGACACGACTGCATGTGGCACCAACGCAGTCTTCAGGCGCGCAACAAATATGACATTCGGGACCTTGACATTCAGTAGCACAAGCACAACTAGCAGCTCCAGTACTGCATCAGCTACAACACAGACTCAGATGTCCATAGCTTCAGTTGCCACGGCCGCTGTAGAGGAGTTTGAGGCGAGCCAAGAGTACTTGGCACGGCAGGCCTTGAGTGCAGCCATGGCATCTGAAGATTTTGTGGAGTTGGTGGCGCAAGGGCCAGATGGCACTACCCTTGTGGCTGCGGCAATCAGAGCAAGCGCAAACATGACGAACGTCACAGTGTCGGACGGCGGGGTGGCAGTGAAAGTGCCTGTAGCACTGGTCACGGCAGCCGGAGGTGGCTTTATGCTGCTCACTTTTGCGGTGCTTGGGCAGGAGAGCTGGGCAAAGTGTGTTTGAACAACTAGCCTATGGTCCCCTCAAAATGAAAACCAATTGGGAGTAGTTTAACAGTCGCAATTCAAACATGCTTAAACCTGGCCAGGAGTCGCAAACTCTGGCAGCGCTCCAGGCTGCAGCATCCTCTGCTGCTGAGCTTGCCGCAAATCCTGTGAGCATAGTCCTGCTGACTGCCAATGGCACGGAGTGGTCCGGGCCTTTGCCAGAGCCACTGGAGCTGACGATTCCTCTGAACGCATCCAACAATACGGAGGCAACGGGTGAGTGTGCCTTTTGGGACACGAGCACCAACAGCTGGTCCACGGAGGGTGTGTCGACGCTGTCCGTGGGCTTAAACGAGGTTGTGTGTCAAACCACACACTTGTCCCTCTTCGGCTTCATCATTCGCACCATTGTGCAGGCAGGTTGAGATGTGTTGCAAAGAAAGTCGGCAGCAAAGAAAGAATGCAAGGACACTTAAGGGGCAAAAAAACAGGCCCTTAAGAGAGATTTAGATGGTTGCACGCATCTCAGACAAAAAGCCGAGGTCTTCGTTTGCTCTGCAGCTGCGGCGATCTTCTCAGAGCAGGGCCTGCAGAATCTGGGCCAAGGCACCTGGGCTCGGTCCATCCCAGCGGCCCTGCACTGGGTGGCGATTCTCTTCGGCGCAGTGCTGCTGTTCCGTTGCCGGAGATACGACCAGCAGTACCAGCAGTACTTGTCCGAGCTGAAGCTGGCGGGAGAGGCTCATAAAAGCAGGAAGCGGAGGACTGTGAGGGCAAAAGTGGTTGAACCCGACGGCTGTGGGGAAAACGATTTAAGGTTAAAACATGCTGGCAGAAGCAAGTTGAAACAAGGGAAGTGCCCCAACGAGGAGGAATTCGCTCCAAACCAGTCAGTTGCTTGCTCATCAGCACTTTGGCTTCAAGCTCCCAGACACCAAGCGCTTCTCCAAATACGTCTACTCCATGATTGTTCGCCGGAAGACGGGACAGTCGCTGGCGGACTTGGAAGGCATGTACACATCTGTAGGTACAGTTGATGCGCACATGAAGGCGCAAAAGTGCATCCGCGACTTCTCGAGCTACGGTCTTCGCCAAAAGGCCCAGGCTTTGTACAAGGCGAGCAACGCCTGGGTGCGGTTTACGGAGCCTTCTCCCCTGAACTCCTGCGTCTTCCGGTGCTCGTTGCATTTCGCTCAGATCTACAGCAAGTGGGCCGTGGCTGCAGTCTTCTTCAATCTGTCAGCCCGTGCACCGGATCAAGGTGAAGAGTGTGAGGTCTTCGAGCGCTTTCCGGAGATGATGATTCGGGCTGCCTTTGTCTCGGCCCTGTCAACTCTTCTGGGCATTTTGCCTCTTGGTTGCTCTTTGGCAAGACCTTTGTCCTTTTAACCTTTGGAAAATGACAGTTTCGCCACTGACCAGCAAAGGCTTTAGCTTTTTCCAAGTCTTAGAGTCTAAGACCAAGGCCCTTTCTCTTGCCTTTGCTCTTGAGAAGATGCCCACAGTCCTGCACGCCCGTGGCGAAAGTCATTAGTTACACCTACACCTTTGTCTACTTTGCGGTTTGCAACATTGTGGTCTGCGTCTTTTTGTCCTCTGTCACTCTTGCGGATGGCTTGAAGTGGTTTGCAAGTGGCATCATGGGCTTGATGAGCTCGCTGCTGCTGATGCCGGCCTTGGTGGCATGCGCAAGCCTACTGCTGCTGCACAACACCTCCGCAGATGTGGATGAGTTGTACAACTGGGGCCCGTCGGATCGAGAAGGCGAGGTCTGGCGCTATTTGGAGTGCAGGCCCGAGATTTCGATCTCCCTGGCCACCCAGCGGCTCTTGCTGTGTAAGCATCCAGCGTGTAGCCTGGAGGTGATTTGTCAGGTGGCCGGATTGCCGGAGACAGCTGTGACTTTGGACCGGGATGAGGACTCGACCTCTAACGACAAGGATGGTAAGGAAGATGCTGGGACTTGGTGCGGAGCTCTCAGCGTGACGGAGGAGCAATGGCTGCGGATTAGCGCAAGGGCAAGGAGTGATCAGAGTGATCACGCATGGGAGCTGGGGTTCATATGTTTATCCATGGAGAGCCTTAGAGGCGGCTTTCAGGGTGCCCTTGAGCTGCAATGCCCTAGGCACTTGCAAGCATATCTTGAGGCGAACATCCCTGAGCCGACGGTGGAAATTGCCGTTTAAGGCTGCCTGTCTCATAGATGCCAATCACCGTAAACCACCTTGCTTGGGTCTATGCCTAAATTGGGCTTTCAATGCCGTGCCATAATTTTGGCGAGCATACCTGAGCATGGTCCGCTGCAAACCGCCAATTAAAAGCATGCATGGAACTCCTTAAAGGAGCACCTGCGGTATCGATACCCCTCAGTGCCTAAAAAGGGGAGAGTATGTGTTTGCTATCAACTCGTTTTGGTTGAGTTTTTGGATTTAACCGAGTTGTGAAATATTATTATATTGATATTGGATTTGATATATGTGTTGTTTGAAACTCTGGTTTTTTATTGGGTATTAGTTTATTACATTATAAATAGGATGATATTAAAAATAATATATTTAAAGGGAAAATAAAAGGAACATATATATTAATAAAAACCGTTAAAATGGCAAAGATACGATTCCGATGCTATTTGTGTTTATTTGGAATATAGGAAGAAATTAGAAATATTATTTGGGAATTGTTATTGTGATTTGATTGAATCTATATATTCGATGAAATAATAATTCAAATAAAACGGAATTATTAATATTAATAATATGAAAAATCAAATTTAAATCTTATAAAATAAAATTTAAAAAGCTAAATATGTTAGAAAAAATTTATATGTATAAACAATACGAAAGACACATACAAATAGAAAAACAAACCGAAAATTACTATTAAAAAAATAGAATACAAAATATATGAAAAACCAATTCCAAGAAAACCGTAGAAGCCGAGAAATCTAAAAATCCAAAATCGGAAAATATAAATAATTAAAAATTAACAATAACAAAGAACCCATTCGTTATTTTTTAGATTTTTTATAGAATTATTATTTCTATGAATATTATGGGGATTTGTTGTGCCCTTAACCCCCCCGTTATTTTTTATTTTTTTTGTAGGAATTGGATATATTTTATACATATCCATAAATTATATATATTTATTGGATGAATTTATTATATATATATATATTTATTATTATTATTATATTTTTATTTTATTTAATAATTGAAGTTATGGAAGGTTAGGTGAAGAATCGAACAAGAATTCGGAGGTTTTGTGATGCTACAATATAGGTTAGGCGCAAGGTATAAAAAAGGTTATGGAGGTTTTGGTGTAGTTTGGTGTAGGTTAGGTGGGATTGGGTACAAGGAAATTGTAGGAGATTTTGGGGCGGTTTTGGTGTAGGCTAGGTATGAGGTTTAAGGAAGGTTCCGGTAGTTTGGTGTAGGTTAGGCGTAAGTTTTAAGGAAGATTCCGGAGGTTTCGGGGTTGTTTGGTGTAAATAGATTAAGATTCCGGGATGGTTTAATATAAATTAGGCGGATGTTTTTAAATTATATCGGATTTTTCTTAAAACCAATATATTTAGCTTGCACTAAAAACCCTAGAAAATTCTATTATAGACATAAGGTTTAAAGAAGATTCCAGGGTGGTTTGTTGCAAACCCAGTTTAAAAAAGCCGAGGTTGAAGGAAGGTTCCGGAAATTCCGATTTGGTGTAGGTCAGGTGTAAGCATTAAGGAAGGCTCCGGTGGTCCAATATAGGATAGGTTAGGTGCAAGATTTAAGGAAAATTCCGGAGGTTCCGACAGGTTTGATACAGGCCAGGTGCTTCCGAAGATTCCGGGGTAAATTAGCGTAGGCTTGGGAAAAGGTTTAAACAAGGATTTAAGGAAGATTTCGTAGGGCGTAGATTAGGTATAAGATTTAAGGAAAATTCGGGAGGTTTTTATTTGGTCTGATATAGGCCAAGTATAAGATTCAAAGAAAATCATCCGGGGTGGTCTGGAATACCTAGTTAGAATATTATTCAATCTATATTTAAATAAATAAAATTATAAGAAAATTTATTCTTTCGATTAGTGATGGATATATATTAAATTAATAATTGGGTATTAAACATATGAATAATTGATAATAGGATGATAGGAAATATATAGGCGATAGCGCAAGCATCATTTTGCAAAATTAATGGTAGAATGTTAGGAGATATAAATCGTATTTTATTGTTTAAGATATTATTTAAGGTGTTAGATGGATTTTAACGAGATTAACGATTCCAAAATTCATAAAACATAATAATTGAATAACGAAAATAGAATATTACAAAATATTTCACAAAAATATCGAATTCTAAATTATATTTAAAAATAAACAACATATATATTAGAAATATATAAAATTAATATAATACATTATCCAAAAAAATAACAAAAAATCCGCCAAAATAACACCAAATGTCCATGACATTCTACAAAATCTCCATATAAATTCCATTAAAAATCCATAAAGAAATTAAACAAATAATATAGTTCAAATATATTTTAAATATATTTTAAATAAATAATCAAATTATAATTACAAATATAATAATTGAATAAAAATATAATCTTATATATATATATAATTCCAGGCCGTATACCCTTGTGGGGGTGGGGTGGGGTAGTTAAGTGATTCGGGTATGGTTTTGAGTTAGTTTAGAATGAATGAATTAGTTTAAGATCAATTTATGGCGGGTTTAGAGTAAATTTAATGAATGTGTTATTTTAAATTGTAATATATTATATCGACAAAACAAAATCGACAGATAAAATCTCGCCCACCCCTAACCCAGTATCATTTTAGGCACGGAGATTTTATTAAAGCTACCATCTAATCCAAAATAATGTCTAGTATTATATCACAGATAATATTATAAATCAGATCGTAATTTTGAAACAAGATTATAAATAAATAAATCGGAAAAGAAATAAAAGCCGGACAATAAATAAATGCAAGCACATACTTACTACGAATCCTTTCAGTCTAGGAAATATCCGCCAATCCCATAACATGCTCAAGGCATACTATCAACAACATATTTCTCATCAATTTGATTCTATATTAAAATAATTAAAAATCATCTTTCAAAAATTATATATGAATTATATATATTTATAAGGGAAATAATTACTACAATATATATATATATATTTATAATATATGCCTTATTATGCCTTACAAACTGGCCATCGAGCACGATTATGCCTAAGAAATCGAACGATTCACAACGATTTCGTACTTTATGAGCGATATAAAACGGAACAATCCACAACGGTTTCCCGAAAGAATAACTGAGAACGATTCAAAACGATTCCGGAATTATTTACGATTATATCATTAATAACAATAAACCGATTAATAACAATTCCATACTATATATAATAATTCTATATAAATATGTTTCGAACCAACTAATATAATTCTATAATTACAAATTCCAATTACAAAACGAGCAAAATCTATATTGCAATTCAAATTCATAATCATAAATATTTTACAAAATATATTATAAAAAATATAAAAAAATCTCTATTCGTTCTATATTATAAAAAAAAAATAATAAATATTATAATAAATTTTAAATAATAGTTCCTAATAATATTTCTAATATTCCCTAATAATATTCCCTATTTTATTATAATCAATATGTTTTATTATATCTTTCCAAATACAAATTCATAAAACCAATTTATAATAATCAAATTCAACATAAATAAAATAACCACAACCTAAAATAATTAAATTACAAAGCAAACAAAATTCAAAAATATGAAGTGGGATATATTTTCGTTTGTGGAATATATTTTCGTTTCTTTTATGTCTGATTTTATGTTGAATGTAAGTTCATGTTTCCCTAAAATCTCTGATTCTCATGTCCCAGCCCGCGTTTCTTTTGCTGGAGGTGGTTCATGCCTCGATTTCCATATCAGTCATGTTTGACTTGTGGGAATGACATTTTACCAGCCATTCTTAGGCCTTAAGTGGTTCGGCTCATACCGATTTTTGTCTCGCTCTTCTTCGGAGTTTGCGTCTGGACGTTACAGGAACTGCTCCCCGCGGCGCGATGGCCGCCGAGGAGCCGACAAGAGCGCCGGCAGCAGCGCCATGCCGGCTTGCTCAGGGCCCTTGAGGTCGACCTTGGGCTTCTCCGCCTGCGAATCGGAGCAGCCGTTTCTCAAAGGGGTGGGCGAGCATCCAATTGGAAACTCAGATGCCCAGTGGCCATGGGAAAAAAAGGGCACCCTTTGTTTGTTGGTTGAGTTTAAAGGGGAACCCTGACGCAAAAAAAGGAAAAAAGGGCACCACTGGGCAACAGAGGAAAAGGAGCCTCTGCACGTGTTGGCGAGTGGCTAGCTCTTGCTGAGATGTCCGAACATGTCTAACTACTGGAGGCATTGCGCTGAGCCGGACCAGGACGAATGTCCCTCTCAAGACGCCACTAAAAAGGTCTAGCTGAACTTGCCCATCTGGCACTGCAGCAAGCCCTTCAACTTAGCACAGGGGAATCAATCATTGGAAAAAATGCTGGTTGTTGAAAGCATACAGCTCTTTTCCACACAAAGGCAAACATGATTTTGTGCCCAAAAGCTGGCCTTTGAATCTGGCTGCTTGACCTTCTCCACCACCTTCACCTTCTCCACCACCTTCTCCTTCGGCAGGTCGTCGTGCACCGCCGGTTTCGCCTTCGACGCTGGCGCCGCGCCCGCCGCATCAGCGGCGCCGTGCGCCGCGTCCGGCGCGGGCGCCGCTTCCTGCGCAGGCGCTGCGCCCTGCGCGTCCCAGCCCTCGGGCGGCAGGGCGCGCTCGTTCACAAAGTTCACCAGGTTCTTGGCGGTGCGCTGCGCTGTGAAGTCCTCGAAACGTGAACTGAAAAAATGTCGCGACCAAAACAATGTGAGCAGTCTCCGTGCGAAAGCTCCTGTTGTCCCGAAAATGGAAACGCTGCGGTCGAAAACACTGCTGGGCATTGCCATTTTCTCTTCATGCTGATGCCGCCGTGTCCCGCCTCGAAGTCGTCGGAGTTGTAGGGGTGAAATCTCACAGTGGGGAAGCTATGGATACCCTGGGCCTGGCATCAAGACGTTTGACTGCTGATCTTGATCCCTACGCACGAAGCCCATGCTTGCGCTCACACTCTTCTGATATTGGCTCCACCTCACGAGTGAGCTGTTTCTTCTTGAACCCTTACCAACCTGTGTCACTGCAAAAGCAATGGCACAAATTCTATGCTCATGTGACGTCTTTTCGGGACCCCCAAAAAGACACGGGCCCCTCATAAGCCGAAACCCTTTTTTTTCCCCCGCCCCTCCGTCACCAAAATGCAAGCTCGATGTGGATATACATGTAGATATCATCATGCATATAACACGAGATTATACATTGCTGTTCAACAAACACCTGCGCGCATCTTCTACCTGCCAGGCACCAAGATCAACTCGAACCCTTTTTGGACGCAGGTGTTTGGGGGGTCGAAACCCAGGAGCTCCGAGAAACCAACACATGGCGCATCCCACTCCCAGCGCGGGGCCTGGCATTCCCCAAAGTCTTTGCCCGGCTCCCAGCGAGGCCCGAAGCACTCCTTCTGCTCCCAGGTCACGTTCTCGGCACCTGGGTGGTCCTCTTGCGCAACGGGCTTCGAGAACCGGAGCACGGGGAGAGGAGCCCTTCAGCTTGTGTCTTCATTTTCAGCGGTCAAGCGGAGCATAGCGGAGCATTCGGGCACACCTGCAATAGCAAGAATTCATCCACCTGAGTCCCGAGATCCCAAAGAACCAGCAACTTCATCATGGGTGAGACCGTTTCGCCTCCAGTTCAAACCACCCCAGAGGGCTGGAGAGCCTGGAGATGCTGGAGATGCTGGAGATGTGGGCTTCCGCCTGTCATACCGTTGACCTCTGCACGGAAGGAAAGATTCGAGACTTCCTTTTGCGGGGCAAGCACTGGGAAGAGGCATCGAGGCAGGCGCGAATCTCATCACGAAAACCAGCCGCAAGCTTAGGGCTTTTTGTGGCCCCGGCGCCCAGGAAAAATCTGATCTGAGCCAAGGGACTTGGTTGCAGTGCTCACCCTGGAGCCCTAGCACCCGGGATTGGCCCTCGAGATTGGCGCTCGCTTCCCGATACATGGCTCCGGTTTTGGGGGGGGGCATTCCCCGAGCATTCAAGGACCAGCAAGCAGTGACTCCCGCAACAAACACCAAAAAGTACCATTTCCTTCTGGAAAAGGCAGTGTTTCTGTGCGCTTGCAAGTTTGTGGCAAGGTGATTGCTTGTACCACAGGCCCAAGAACCACCGGAGACCAGTACAAACCGTGCACCAAGCCATGTGTGTGTGTGCGGGCAATTAAATTGATGTCCCACAAAACTCCACTGGAAACCCCCCACCCTCTCCCTCTCCTCGCCCCACATGCGCTGGGCGTTCTTCCACACGGGCTCCAAATGCTGGCAGTGCACACAATCCTAGAGAGCCAACCACATCGGAGGTGCACAACACACGAAAATGAAATGTATATACTGTATATTTGTGAGATGGAGGGGTGCCTACAAGTGCAAGGGGACCCCCTAAACCTTCAAACGATACGTGCGGATTTATGTTGAGGATCAGTTTTATCAGTACGTTGACCAGTTGCCTTCAGGGGTTGTCGCATGAACGTGTGATTGTCTTTTTGGGAATCTTGGTTTGCCCGCCGGAATTGCTTGCCAGCTGAATCCCTTTACGGCCCAAAAAGTTTAGAAGCTTAACACCTTCCAAGGTGTCGGAATGAAACGTTTCACTTGCTAGGCGCATAAATAACGCCAGCAGTACGATATGGGTAATGGACACTTGTACTCCCAGTTTGAAGTGAGCTGCACCCAGCCAGGCAGCCGTGCAGCTTCAGCCCCGAAAGCCACTGAGACTAGTTGGGGCTTGCAAGTCGCGTCACCAAAAAATGGCTGCCTTCGTAGGTCAGCATAGGTGGTGGGCCAAGGAAACTTCGCACATGTCAGCACCAACCGTGGTGAGGAGGCAGCGTGCTCCAAGGAATCACACAGACAGGATTCGCTTATGTCTGCGCCTAAGAGCGCAAAGCCTTCTGCCCAAATGGGCCATCAAATCTGGTACTTGCAGAATCAAAAGGGCCCACTTGGGACCGACCTTCAACTCTCCCGGCTTTGATTGAAAGGCGAGTTGCCGATTTTCAGTCAAAACTCCTGCCCTGCAAATGAGCACGATTCCCTTCGCAAGGATCAAAATGGTCTCAATGTCTACTTCAGGGGTCCATGACCACATCCCTAACCCAAAGTGCTTTGGCCACGTTCACCCCACCTGGGAGAAGTAGTCTACCACCTTGCCGCCGCCATAGCGTGTGGCCGGCTGCATGTACTGCCCATCCCCCCAGGAGGCAGAAAGCCCGGCGTCCTCCTCGGGGCGAGGAAACGAAAGCTAAGCTCCCCCCCCCCCTGCCATGCACACTTAGCGTCTATTTTGCAGACTCTAGCCCTAACAAAGCAAATACCCTAAATGAAGGAGGTCGCAAACAATGGACCCTATGTCTCCACCATCACCCCCCTCCCCCCCGCTCCCCATCCCACCCACCCCGCTCCCCCAGCTCCCCAACTCCCCTCCCCATCCCCTTTCCTGCTCTGGGGTCAGGCCGAAGGCCGCCGTCTTCTTGTCCCAGGCCTGCGGGTCCGCCCGACTCTCGATGAAGTCCAGCAGCCGGTCCTTGTCCTAACGGACGGACGTCCGTCCCCCCGCCGACCAAACGGCCCACGTGCTCTTCGGGATTCTTGGGGTATAGCCCTCGTTTGTGGACGAATCCTGAAATCAGATACCACCCTTCAACAGCCTCTCCTGTTGATTCTTGGAGCAAAACTGGGTCTGATTGTTGAAGCAAGGCTTGAAATTATAAATGCGCTCGGAGCCGGGGGGGAGGGGGGGCATGAGCTAGCGAACGTTCAATTCTGCCGGTAGGAGGGACTCGAAAAGCCCTCATCGCAGGGTGCTCAGCCTTGCGAGGGATTCCCAAGGCGTTGGCGCCATAATGGAGGCGTTCAATGAATGCCGCAGCGTTTGTTTTGCAGAGTCCACATTCGGCTCGACTGCTCTGTGGGTCGCTTCCCAATTGCTAGTGGTTGTTTGGAAAATGCGGTCCCCTTTTTGTCTACAAACTTTGCTTCTGCGCTGGTTGACTTTCTCTTCACCAGCCATAGCAAGTCTGCAGCTAGCAAGTGTCAAGCAAGCAAGTTTCAAGCAAGTGTTAAGCAAGCAAGGTTCAAGCAAGCAAGTTTCAAGCAAGCAAGTTTCAAGCAAGCAAGCTTCGAGCAAGCAAGCTTCAAGCAAGCAAGTTTCAAGCCAGCAAGCAAGCAAGCAAGCAAGCAAGCAAGCAAGCAAGCAAGCAAGCAAGCAAGCAAGAAACAAACAAACAAACAAACAAACAAACAAACAAACACTGTCACAACCAACCTAGCCGACCTTCCTTAAAGAGACGCTCCCAAAGCAAGCTGACAAACACTTGTGCGTCTCAGCGTCGTTGTGCTCAAGGATCTCCTCCCCGAGCTGGTCCTTCTTGCCGTAGTAGTACCTGGGTTCCCCAAAAAAAGGTGTTGAAACGTTGGGATAACTGGCTTTTCCCAACTAGTGTGGTGGTTTCCTTCAACCTTTATCTTTGCATAACTCCGTGGAGAACAAGATAAAGGTCGAGAAAGGCGTTCTTAGGGTCAAAGGCTAACAGGCTAGAAACGGGTCAAAGGGTCAAAGGTGGTACCTTTCACCGCCAGGGTACTTGATGGTGGGGAAGGATTCGATGCCCTCTTTCTGGCACTCCTCGAAATCCTTGCCCTCCTTCCAGTCGCTGCCGTAGCATTCCTTCTGCTGCCACTGGAGCTTGGCAACATGGTTGGCTGATTGCCAATCCTTCTCCGCGGCCTTCCAGATGGGGTCCAGATTCTGGCTATGAGGACAGTCCTGAATGGTCTGAGGGAAACATTCTAGCGGTTGATTCCCCGTTCTTTTCCAAAACCGATCGCTGTTTCCCCAGGATTTCGGGTGGTTTGTTAGAAAGAAGGATGCCTGGAAAGAATGGGGAAGGTACCCCTAGAAAAATATCCCGGTGCAAGATCCTGGTCCTTAAGAACTACTTTGTGGGTTCCGACTGTGACATCTGTTGATGGTTGAATGGTCGGATGTTCCCACCTCGCGCCTTCCAACCCGGCACCCATTTCGGCGCATTGACCTCATTTTGCAACGCCGCATGTGGTTGTAACACCTATGTGTCGCGGCCCCACCGTTTTGGATGTTCCTACCTCCTTTTGCACCTAATTCAATATGTTACCCAAAATATGTCCGCCCTGCCTTCACTGTAGTCTGTAATACTAATAAAGGCTGCGCTCAGAATGTTGAGGGCGTGCCTCTGTCTGTGGATGTATAGCATAATGCAGGGTTCAAGTCATCCAATAGGAGCACGTACACTTGACCCTCAAGTGCCGACTTTCTGGGTGAGTTCCCGTGGAGAAAAAAAAATCGTGGGTCCGAAAAGGGGAAACTCAGGGACCGGTCCTTCGCATAGAAGTCCACGACTCTCTGCAGCTCCCCCTCTCTGAGTTTCTTGGCCGCTAGCACCTGGGCAGGTCTTTCTGGGAAAATTTGAGAGCAGAAGCAGAGGGTTTTCCCATAGGTGACCTTTTCAAAAAAATAGATGGCCCTGGTAAATGGAATCAAACCCATCTAAACCAGTGCCATCTATGCCTAACCAAACTAACCTAAAAAGGACACCTATGTTTCGTCATTGAGGTTCAAGGCAGGGTCAAACAAGAGAGGGGGGCGGTGACACGGTGACACAAAATGGTTGGCCGCTTGAAGGTCCAGCCTAGTGAAAAAATACCACGAGATATGGTTTCCGATGTGGGGTTCCCTCATGCGGGTTTGCCATGGTTGTCGAACATCCCCCTTCTTGTGATACCAAAGTGACCAAACCAACTGCAGTCGTAAAACACGCCAAAATGGGGTGGTTGCAAAATGGGGTGGTTGCCAAAATGATTCGGACCTTTTGGGAGCCCCTTTTGAGGGGCAAAACAAAACCGGTTCACCAACAAAGGACCCGTAGTTTTGACAAACCCCCTGCCTCAGGACTCTTTGTGACATCCACCTCAGCGGCAGATCCGCTGGACAGCGGGAGATGGTTGTGCATCCAGCTGGCCAAGGACTCACCAGCGTCTCGGATGTGGCTGGGCAACAGCAGAAAGGACCTGTACCGCCGCGAAGCGCGCGCGCAAGCGCAAGCGCACGGCGCGAGGTTTTTTCTACATGAACATCATGTCTACCCGCAACAAGAAAGAGCAAGACTGAATCTCTGCGAAGATACAGAAGATCAATTCCGGGAGCAGATTGACACGACCAAATCAAGCCATCTAGACAAAACGTGCTGAAAGCAGGGAAGCGGCGTATCATGCTGCCCGGCAAGGCTCTGCAAAAGCCCACCATGCACCATGACGGAAGAGGGCGCGCCAAGCCGTTAGCGCAGCAGCGCATGGGCCATTTGGCTGCGGCAAAATGGGTAAAGGCCCACGCAAATCGGGGGGTTGCAAGGGTCTGGGTTGGGGCCCTTCTGAAACCTCCAAAGGGTGGACTCCCCGTGCTTCCTCAAAACATCAACCCTGGGGTTCAAACCACCATTAAACCAATGGGGGTTCATATAACCACCATTGTTTACCTAAGGATTGTCATCATCTAAACTAAATTGGGTCAACCTTTGTTTCAATGGTGGTTGAACCGGGTCAACGGTCCCCATTGAACTCCAACGTAGACCACACGAAGCCATCTGCTCTGCGACTCCTTTCCGCGGGGGCCATCTGAGGTCAGCTGCCCACCCTATGCAGCTGGCGACGGCCCGGTGAAACCTCGCCCACTCGGAAGCCACAGCGTGGCTCGATGGACCAAAGGCTCGCAGCCAGCGAAAGCGTCAAATCAAACAGAGCTGGCAGCCAGAGGTATTGACACACGCGGCATTAAAATCTTGGCAACCAGAGGTTACTTGGGTGTGGGTGGAACAAAATAGACTAAAACCCCAGATTGGGTTGACCGGGTAAATGGAAACAAAGACTAAAACCTGCGGTCTTCTGCTGGTTTAATTTTGACACACGAGTTTTTGAACATCTGCCAATTCTGTCGAATAGACAGGAAGCTGCAGCCAACGAATTCTGATCTGCACAATCGTGCAAACTTAATTAGGTGTCCTTGGCGAGAAGTGCACTGTAACAGAGTCTGGCACATCCCTCCATGGCTTGCACTTCGTCTTGGACCCAGCGATCAGCACACGTGGGATCGACCAATCGGCGATCAGCACGCTGCCAAAAGCTGCGCCACGAAGGTAACCTACTCTACATGCAGAAAGCGCTGGGTTTCCACTTTCGGCGCACACCAAAAGGGTAAACCACCCATCCAAAATGAGGGCATAGATCATGTTCAGCCAGCCGTTCCCCCACTGTCTGAGCCAACGGGTAGTCTCCCTCCTTTCCAAAGACCCAGAAAAAGCC